AAAAAAAAAAAAAAAGCCCATGATCTGAAAAAGCATTTCCATCCTACTTCCATAAGAGATGGGGAGGAAGAAACTTGATTCCTTTAGTGTTTTACGGTTTATTTATTACTATGTATCCAGCAACGATCTTGTGTGACAAGGATGCTTTCTTAGTTGTAAGCACTAGGAGTCTACTCTAGCTCAGTTTTTCCCTCTAATTATCAAGTTCTCAGCCTTCTCTAATACTCCTATCCCCTCGAATAATCTCCAAACTATTAGGACTATAATGAACTGTAAGATTTACTATAGATTATAGGAGCTGGTAGCATTATCTCTGCTTAGAAATACTGGTCATTATACTGTTGCTTGCTTTTTCTTTCAGGTAAGCTAAATCAAAGCTCATTGATTCAGCCCCCTGCTCATCAAGCACAGGGTCCTGCATTGTCATCTCACAACTCAGATCCAACTGACCTAACTCACTTCCAACACTATGCCAATTCAAAATCTCCTATTGTTATAACCCTAACTCAGTGACTCAGAACCAATATGAGGATGATAAGCGTAAGTCGTTTTCAATGCTTCTAGCATTCTAGAGTTTTCACTTTCTACATGACAACTTTTTCTCTGCCACTTCCTTAACAATGAATAAAAAGGGTATTTTGTCTTAGAAACCTATTTTCAGTTTTTAGACTACTACTTGCATCAAGCCGAATGTTCTATTGACTGTAGAGTGAAAATTAGATGTTGGGATTATACCCACTAATGTTGAAGTTTACCAAAACCGTCAACTTTTCACCATCAATTGACTTCATGAGTCTGGCAGTTTAGGGACTTTATCAACTCTAATTTTTAGCTTGAAGGAAGAGTGTTTGCTAGACAAAAGAGCATTGGAGACCCAAAAATAGAGAGTCATTTATAATCTAATATCCATGTATGAAGTAGATAATCCTTGGTGTGAGGAGCATCAGTTCTCATATGAGACGGAATTAGCATTTAGAATGACATTTGCAATTTAGCTTACCACATAAGACATAATTGAAACAAAATTAATTGGGGCTCTTGTCGGCCTTTATATCTAAGGAATAAGAACAGACAATATAGATGAAATACATGAAATTACATGCTTGATTTTTAATGTCTTCCGAAGTTGTGCTTTCTTTTGTGAATTGTGGAGGTGATATTTATTGGGAATTTATTTAATGATACAAAATGAAAAATAAAAATAATTATCAATTACTTGTAGTCTTAGGTGCAGTTTAATTGTTCTCTTTACCAGGTTGAGAATTATTTCTCGTGGCAGTCCTTATGTATTAAAATGAATTCAAGTCTCGCTAGAATTCTCACCACGAATATAGCTGCAGGCTGCGCTGCTGAGGTTAAAAGTTATCACACTGCTCACCCATCTTCAGAACACATCACAGTTGCAGCTGGTAGCGGTTCTGCTCCTCCCGAAATTACTATTCACTGTGTAGAAACCGCCTCTCTATCAAGTATCCAGTCTTCACCTGCACTCACTAAGAGCGACAACTTGACAACAGGCTCAGGTGGCAGGCTTCAACTGCAGCTAGCACCTCAACCTGCAGAAAGGTCATTGTTTACTCGCGCAAGACAAACGTGACGATTGCTTCAGGCGGCGCTCTCTTGCCTATAAGTGACGAGAATTATGTTGCTTACTCCTATCCTGAGTGAGAAATTTGCGAGTTGCTGGCTCAAATGGCATCATTGGTTGGATGAAACTGAAAGGAGACAATACTCAAGCTGCTGTGTTCTGTTAGCTCCACTTTTCCCCTACTGAACACATTTTAACTTGTCCAAAATCATGATATCTCCTTGAGTTGAAAATAAAAATACTTGTATTACATCATAGAAAATACATTTCATATTAAAAAACAAAAAAAAATTTGCATATAAATCCCCCCTCCCCTAACTGTTTCATCGTTATCAAAGCATAAGCAGATTTCCTTTTTTCCTGAGAGAGAAAAAATTATGAAGGGCTCTTTTAGCCAACTTAATATATCTATTATTAAAGCTACAAAATTTTGATGTATTCAAAACCAGAAAATCACATCAGAACTCCTTCTAAATTATGAAGGGCTCTTTTAGCCAACTTAAATTTTGGAGTAAGAGCCTTGTCGGCTTTCAGAATATACTCCTTAATGAAGAACTCAATGCCTTCTCTAAGGCTTTCAAGCGCAGGGGTCACCGCAACACGGGTGAATATGTTCCACACTTGGCTATCCGAATACTCAAAAATGGACTCAAAAAACATGCGGAAATGCATGATCTTCTTTGGGGTTAACTGGGTGATGTCGCCTAGCTCAATGGTCTTCAAAACTGCGAGGGAGAGAGTGAAAGAGGCAACCATTTCTGCCACAAATTTTGCCAGATGCATTGACCTCCTCAGCTGCATTGATTCCAGCTCCTTAAACTGGTCCCAAAGGCAAAACTGCAAACAAAAATCCCCAAAAACATCAACTTGAATCAAATTCCACTTTTATAAACGAACATTTCAAAATAAGTGTTGCCACGTCCTTCATGACAAGGCGAATTAAAAATATCTTTCGATGCACGACAAAAGGGGGAACAATAACCTGTAGAGTGAATTTGTGATTTCTATCATGCTCACACAACTTGGAAGCCAATACAGTATAATACTTATTAAAAACCTTCTCCTGCAAGCAGCACTCCAAAAGAACACGCATTATCTCTCGGTCCTGCACAGACGTGAAACAATTACGTATCACTCAATAGAAGATCACATAGCTAAAAATAGGACACAAGTAACATAGGGAAAAGGTTGACCTGCTTTCCGGGTAAGTCTAGTCTTAGAAGCTTCTCAAATGCATCAATATAGTCCTCCCCACTCATTATTATACAAAAGATTGCTCTTCTACCATCTGTGTTCATCCTTTGAGCGGCAGCAAGCTGCAACATTCGCTGGGTTTCGAGAACATCTTTATCTATTCTGTTGGCAACTTCCACAACATTATCTGTTGCGGGAGCTGCGTCCCCAGACAACCACCATTGGCCTTTCTTGTTGGGGTCAAGCAACTTATTCCATTTAAATCCTCTAATCAAAACATCATCCACCCTTAGCTGGAACAAGTATTAGGACAAAAATTAATAAACTATCATTTACAAATGGCGTTTACATAAAAAACTGACAGTTAAAACAACCGATAATGTTTTTAAAGCATTACTTTTTCCAAGCAAAAGTATAACAAAGGACATACTAATATGCAACAACATATTAGATAAGGCTGCCAAAACGTTCAGATTAGAGAATGGTACCTTCTGTAACCACTTCTTAATCCTTGTGTGATGTGCAGGGTCCTCTTTGGGCCTTTTCTTGTTGTTCTTGATGTCACAGATGGTTTCAAGCATAAATTCCATCTACAAGTGTCACTAAATAATCAGTTCTGGACACTGTCAAGAAAAAGTGAAGGCAGTTTGATGATAGAGCATAGCATGCTCACTCTTTTGCTATATATTTTTTCTTGGTCCCCACCATCAGAAGCCTTCAACTCATTTGCCCGATTCTGAACACTCACAATGAAATCTTTCATGGCAGCAGGATCATCAGCCCTAATTTTCATCCCACAGCCTATTTAAACATGTTGAAGTCAGATAACAGGGTTTGAAAAGTACCGTCTTGTTACAACATAATATTGATTTCAGACTTCAGTTCATGCAACATGAAAATTGGACAGGGGGGAAAAAGGAATAAAGCAAGAGAAATGAACAAAACAGATGCACATTCGTACTATGATTTTTAAAAAAATGAGTACAATGCAATGACAATATTAAGTTAGCCGGATGAGTGGAAGGAACTCCTTGCTTATGCCTCTACACATTTTTAATAGTGTGTTTACGCAAGTAACTATATTTTTGACAAAAAATATCGAGGAACATAATCACTTGTAGCACTTGTGAAATTGATATCCCAATATATGAAAATCTGAACATATAATGGTACGTTACATGGATTTTAAAGTGTGTGAAAGTACATGAAGCTGCATCACTTTCTAACATAACTGTTTTGTCAAGAAAATGCATTAAGAGCATGCCCAACTCAGGACTTACCATAAATGAACTAGGCCAATGTAGATGTCTTAATAACTTATTTGCAGCGGTTTACATCCCTAGCAATTCTACGTAAAATTAACCCAAACCTAACATGTGCAGCTTAAAAGATTATTCATCGTGGGAAAAAAGAAACTTACATTGTAACACCGTTAAGATGGTAGAGACATCGATCTCTGTTAACCTCTTACTCAGGATGATGAGGAAGTCATATATTAAATCACTGAATTGCAAGACATGATTGTTAGAAAAATATAGTTGAGAGGGATTCAGTACAAAAATTGGTCATATTACTAATGACAGATGCAAATGAACTCCAAGCAGCAGCTCATTACAACAGAAATACAAGTTTGAAATCCATCAAACTCAGATAGTCACTTAAAAAGTGACACGCCTAATATTTGCAAAAGATGTTAAATCACACAAAACTAGCTTTATTCTTGCCCAATAATCATAAAAGTTGAAATTTTGAACAACAGGCGAAGTCATGGCCGGCAGCCAACTGTCTATTCCATAAATTGATTTTATGAGTTGCAAAAGATCACAAAAATATATGCGCATGTGTTTTGCATGTAAGAGTGCATCATGTAATGCAGTCAGTTCACCTTGAGCAGACCCCAAATATGCATAAATAGCATAGGAGAAGAGTGAGATTTCGCAGAGAGAGATTGTCTTCCTTGTTATATTCATCCTGCGAGAAAAGCATGGGAAATTAGAAGACTCTGACAGGTCAATCAAAGACTTGAGAAGAATCTAAAATCCAAAAATCCAACCAATAAACAAAATCAGCAATGTTAGAAAACTATTTTATTTATTTAAATGCTATACCTCAAAGCATTTGGCAAAGGAGGCCATAAACTTTGCACTGAAGTCAATACCAACCAGGCAGGCCATCCCAGCAACAAAGGCTGCAAAAACAGCAGCATACCTTCACAGAAGAGGGCAGTAAACAAAATTATCAGCAACATTTGAAACAAATATAGAAGAGAGAAAGCTCAACACATCAAAGTTAACTTACCGGTTTCATCAAACAAAATAACAATAGTATTGAGCTAAGAAACTACAATGTAAGAAATGTGCTCAATACAATACTGGGACATCAATGTCATATACAAGAAACATCTCATACAATTCCTGCAGAGCCGGAATTAAATTTATCTAGGGAACAGTACATAGAATGTATCGAACAGACATTTAGCAGGGTACAGGAAAGTTATCAGTCATAACTATGAGCTGCAACAAAAGAAATGCGTCCACAACAACAGTGGGAGTAAAATCTAAAAGCAACTTTCATACAATTCCTGAAGTGCCAGATTTAAAATTTTTCATTGGAGCATTATATATTATATAGGGTATACCAAACAGAACATCCAGAAGGGTGCAGGGTAGTTATCAATCATGACCTAATTTTTCTTTTAGGCAATTAACAATATAAATAACCTTTATCACAAGATAAATAATTTGGAGAGGGGGATGACAGGACACCTACATGGGAATAAGATAAGAGACAAGATATTAATAAAAACCTCTCCGGTCCAATTCATTGCCATTTAGGGATAATGCACCCCAAATCCACAAATAATAATGGTTTATTCAATCCCTAAGCAAATGAATAGGCATAACGTATTCCTGCAAGCTAACTGGAAACATTTCATAACTCCAGGAATTTATGTTCCTCCTTGTTTCTAAAGCCTCTGAAAGCTATTGACACTATAGGAAATTGTTATGTGATAAATGGCTAGTAGAGGCTTTATTAAGTTAGTTGGTAACATCGCCCTTACTGCTATCTATAGCAGAGCACAAGGGAGTCATTGTATGGAAGCCTTGGTGGCCTTTGTGTAATAAAAATTTCAGTTAAGTTCCAGTTCCTTTCTCTCTTTCTCTTGGCTCTAACTTAACATCACCAAAAAAAAAAAAAAAAAGAACAAATCTTCTTCTACCATCTACTGCAGATCAGAAATCCACATCATCCTAACAATTGTAAACAATCTATACAACCCCCCAAGTCATTGAATAGCAGAAGGAAAAAAACAGCTTTCCAAAAAACCAGACCACATGAAATATGCAATTGGAATTTATCATATTATAGACCACAGCAAAATAAAGGACTGGACCCTAAGAGTATATTTACAATTTACATATCATAACACTTCCCTTAACAACTTGAGCTTTCTGACTTGAAGTGAGGTCCTTAGCATGGCATGATAAGTGTCAAAGAAGTAAGAATAGAAGAGAGAAGAGGAGAGAGAAAAATGAACTCGTAATTCGCCAAATGTTAAAGTTAACTCCTCTTCAGTTACAGTGCTATTTAATGAGTCAGAGTCCTAACAAACTCACTTCTTTCTTTTCCTAACAATATCAACTAGCAAACTGATTGCTATCTTTCTGACACACATAACATGGTATCGCAAAGAGGTCAAGAGTTTGATACTGGTCACGCTTTCCCTCTTAACCCCAAAAAAAAAAAAAAGGGTGCAGTACAGGGAACAGCGAGCCTAAGAACATAAACCTCAAAAGGCATGTGTACAGAGGGGTGACACTTGATTTTAATATTATAACTCTATTCATGGTTTTTCACGTAACAACTCGTGTTGTCGAAATGAAGACAGTGGTCATGGACAACTGTAACATTAAAATCCCACCAGGAAAATGCAAACAAATTAAGGACAAAAGATTCGAGGAAATTTCTAAATCTCCAATACGATATTTACAAAACCCATAAAGCAGCCACTTCAGCCCTAACATTACCAATTATTCAATAAGATACATGAAAGAATGCCAATAGAGATCCCAGCACAAGAATTTTT